TCCTCCCGACGTGAAAAGCGCTATATCAAATGCAAGGATTATTATTATTATTATTATATTCTGTATTAATCTCCCACAGCAGATGTGGCCACGTGGGTATCAGGCTGACCCAGCGCTGCCACATCAACAGCTCAACAACCCGATCCACAGCCCAGCATCCACCTCATCAGGGGACAGCCTGGGTGGGAGGGAGTGGGGCACTCAGATGGGAGTGAGACCGGTTGGGAAGCTAATGAGTAACCCGGGTTAAATATAACTCAACATCAGACATTCAATCTGTGTTTACCCTCAGTTTAGTCAATATCTCATTGTGTAACATTGCCCCTCACTGGCCACCATCATTACGCACCAGCTGTGATGAGAGCTGAACACACTGTGTGAGGTGAGCGCCCAGGTCAGGCCCATCACTGCCGCCCAGCCCGAGACTGACCACATCAAGGAACCAGTCAGAAACACGCCCCTACCACCACCCTCTCCTCCCCACAGCCTCTCCACGTGAGGGTAAAGATCCAGGAGGTTGTTGTTTTCCTAGCCAACAAGCTCCTGATAACCAGACCTTCACCATACGCCTGCTGTGGAGTTTACTGCTCAGCTTGCCTGAAACAGTCACTCAATAATAATAATTCTTATGTGTGATCCAGTGCCTGTCACTGGCAACATGGCAAAGCTCCCAACGGAATCACTCCCCTCGGGCTGCCCAGACCCTCAGCCACACACACAGCAACAACAACATTCATACAGTACCTTTCAGAGTGCCATTGCTAATATCAGCAAATAGAAGTGTCACTGCTAATAGAGGTATCATAGAATAATACAGTACAAAAGGAGGCCATTCGGCCCATTGTGTCTGTGCTGACTCTTTGAAAGAGCTGTCCAAATTAATCCCACTCCCCCACTCTCTCCCCATACCCCTGCAAATTTGTCCTCCTCAAATATCTTTCTACTCCTCGCTTGAAAGTTGTTATCAAATCAGGATCGATAGCGGTGTCATTGCTAATATCAGCCTGTATAGAGGTCCCAAGGTGCTGGACAATGAAGGGTTTGCACCCAAACTGGGGGTGGATTCGGAAGGGGTGGGGCCAAATTGGGGTGGGAGGGATGACCAAAGGCGCAGTAAAAGGGGAAGGACTTGATACAGACCTTAAAGGAGGGGAGGAAAGGGGCGAAGTGAAGGGTGGAGTTCCAGAGGGTGAAAGCAGAAAGGCTGAAGAGCCGATGCTGATGGTGGGACTGGCAGTTCGGTGGCTGTGGAGCAGGCCAGTGCCTGCTGAGCAAAGGGAGCAGGTGGCTTGGTAAGGATTCAGAAGGTCACAGAGGGAGAGAGATTCAAGGTCGTGAGGGGATTTAAAAGTGAGGACGAAGGTCTTGAACTCTATCTTCTAGGGGATGGGGAGCCAGTGGAGCCGGGCGAGGATGGGGGTGATCGGCTCATGGAGCCTGGTGCCGGAGAGGACACAAGGTGCAAAGTTCTGAATGGTAATTTGTTGTTGTCTGCAGCTTGTGGGGGGAAGAGTTGGGAAGTCCAACAAGCAGAGAAATGGTGTAGTCAAGACAGGATGTGATAAAAGTATGGATGAAGGTTTCAGCGGACTGAGGGGAGATGTTGTGGCAGAGGCGGGAAATGTTGCGGAAGTGGGTAGAGCTGAATGGGTCTGGACACAGATGTAGAGTTGGAAGGTCAGTTGAGGGTCAAACAAGATGCCAAGATTCTGGGGGGTGCATCCATGAATAATGATGCTGTCAGCGCCTGAGGTGTGGAGGCAGAGGAATAGAATTGGGTGTCATCCACATACATGTGGAAGCTAGCCCCATGCCTGAGGATGACATCTCAGAGTCCCTTGCCCTCACTCCCTCCATCCCACAGTCCCTCCCACTCACCATCCCACAGTCCCTCCCCTTCACCATCCCACAGTCCCACCGCATGGTGACCAGCGAGTCTTATCATCATTGAATTGTGGTTACATTGTCCACAGTATAAAGCTATTTACTTTGTTTACATACTGAAACATTTGGAAGCTCTCTGGTTGTAGGGCTGTTCGGTTCCAGCAGTGTGCGATATGCAAAGCAGGAGTTGATGCTGTGGAAAGTATGTAAATACGATCAGACCCTAGATTAATGTCAGGACTATTGACACCTCACGCTCAATTTGTAATCCAATTTCACATGGTACTCACTGCCATTGTCACCATCAGAAACCCCAGGGGCTCAGTGACCATCTAATCATCTAATCACTCCCCCATCAGCACCTCCATCGCCGCAATCTTACGCAAAGAATATTATAGGATTATTATTATAACAATCAACGACACACGCATAGCTGGATTGGAGGCTGAACAAGGGAGACATGGTGTGTGGTGGGCGGGGGTGGTAGTGGGGGTGGGTGGTGGGGGGTTTACCAGCCTGATCGCGGGGCAGTGCGGAGGTGAGAGTTAGGCCCATGTCAGCTGAGCGAGGCACCGGGCAGTGGGGTACAAGCAGGTCAGAGAGGTGGGGAGGTGCGGGTTGGGGGGGGTGGGGGGAGGACAAGCGTTATATGAAAGGGAGAGGATCTTGAAATCAATCGCGGTGATGTTTTGGATGAGCTGGTCCTTGTGGATTGCGGAACCAGGGAGACTGACGGGTGTTTGAGAAATCAAGGCGGAAGGTGACAAAGGTGTGGATGAAGGTTTCAGTAGCATCGGGTGTAAGATGGGGTAGAGGCTGGGGAGGGTAAGGAGGTCAGAGCTGGGTCCACACAGTTGAGGGATACAGCCAAGTGGATTTGATCTGTTTTGATCCTTGGTTTAACAGCTCATTTGAAGGATGGCACCTCTAACAAAGCGTCTCCCCAGCACTGCAGGGTCAGCACAGACAGCCTGTCCTCACCGTGACTTAAACCACAACCTTGTGACTGAGGTGAGAGTTTGCAAGTGAGTGTGTGAGCGAGTGTGCAAGACCATGTGCATGAGTGTGCAAGGCTGTGTAACTGAGTGTGTCAGGGTACGTGAGCGAGTGTGTCTCAGGAGGTGTGAGCGAGCGTGTCAGGCGGTGTGAGCGAGCGTGTCAGGCGGTGTGAGCGAGCGTGTCAGGCGGTGTGAGCGAGCGTGTCAGGCGGTGTGAGCGAGCGTGTCAGGCGGTGTGAGGGAGAGTAAATGACCACCCAGAAGAATGTATGAATCAGCCTTACTGGAATGAGGAAGTCAGTGTGAAAGAACTGCACTGACCGGTTTGCCCACTTTGTGCCCTCGGGATTTACAAGATGTGGTCATGGCTTTCAGGCTTTCACCCTCCGTAAACGGAAACTAGTTTGCATCTTGTAAGTCGGAAAGTAGTGTTATTCAGAGCGATTCTGAGTCCCCGCCTCAGACTCCCTCAGAATAGCAGCTCGTCACACTTGGCTGCAAACATATTAGACAGAAACACGACATGGTCACAACATGGAGCACACAATCTCTCTAACTGCTCTAACTGCTGCTTTCGCTCCCCACATTCCCAGCTCTCTCTCTCAGACTATACAGCGGTGTCACTGCTAACATCAGACTATATTGAAGAGTCACACTGTGAACGCAACAACAGATTGCACTTATATATTATTTATATTATAGTAACAATAATCGTACCAGCATTTCATACAGCGCCTCATCATCTCATTTGAGACGTCTCAAAGGACTTCACGGAATGTACTGTGGAGATGAGTGACTGTGCATTTTGTGAGCGAAACGTGAGATATTTTGTGGTCGGAATGTGAAATAGTCACTATTTTTACTGTCTACAAAACTGACTAGATAGCCAAAAGGTGTGTCTTGTGTAGAAATGTTGAGCTGACATTGCAGTGTAGCAGTGGTGGGGTGTGGGGGGGGGGGGGGGGGGAGCGCTAAGGTTACCTAAGTAGCCGTTTTCAGATGAGATGTTAAACTGAGGTCAGGTCTGTGCCTGTCCAGGTGGTCATTAGAGACTGCGCGGCGCTATTCGAAAAGAAAATAGGAGTTGCTCTCTCCTGGGTCCTGGCTATCGATGCCCCGGATAAAACCGCTCCCTCGCTCACCCCCGTGGCTGTCGGTGGGAAATCGGTTGTCAAGTTTGCCAAAAAAACTATTGCCGTTTCCCGTAAATACCATGAAGGGCTGAGGTATTTGTTGACTTGCTAAGGTGTTGCATGAAATGTTATCTTATTATTTCCCAGGAATGCAGCAGGTGGTTTGCTGACTGGGTAGGGCTGACCTGCTTGAGTGCCTCACTGTGCTGAGGGCTGGACTGTGCTGGGGTTGGGGAGGGCTGTTCTGTCCCAGGCTATGCTTGAGGGCTGTGCTGGGCTGTGCTGGGGTTGGGGGCTGTTCTGTCCCAGGCTATGCTTGAGGGCTGTGCTGGGCTGTGCTGGGGTTGGGGTGGGGGGGCTGTTCTGTCCCAGGCTATGCTTGAGGGCTGTGCTGGGCTGTGCTGGGGCTGTGCTGGGGTTGGGGGGCTGTTCTGTCCCAGGCTATGCTTGAGGGCTGTGCTGGGGTTGGGGTGGGGGGCTGTTCTGTCCCAGGCTATGCTTGAGGGCTGTGCTGGGATTGGGGTGGGGGCTGTTCTGTCCCAGGCTATGCTTGAGGGCTGTGCTGGGGGTGGGGGGCTGTTCTGTCCCAGGCTATGCTTGAGGGCTGTGCTGGGGGTGGGGGGCTGTTCTGTCCCAGGCTATGCTTGAGGGCTGTGCTGGGGTTGGGGGCTGTTCTGTCCCAGGCTATGCTTGAGGGCTGTGCTGGGCTGTGCTGGGGTTGGGGTGGGGTACTGTTCTGTCCCAGGCTATGCTTGAGGGCTGTGCTGGGCTGTGCTGGGGTTGGGGTGGGGGGCTGTTCTGTCCCAGGCTATGCTTGAGGGCTGTGCTGGGCTGTGCTGGGGTTGGGGTGGGGGGCTGTTCTGTCCCAGGCTATGCTTGAGGGCTGTGCTGGGCTGAGCCACTGACGTGCACACGCCCCACCCTTCAGTAACTTTTTGTTTCCTCTTACCAAGTGCCCCACACAGACAGTGAGTGCGCTGACACTGGGGCTGAGTTGCTTTCCCTGTGAGGTTGACCTGTTAGTGTCCGGAGGGGACTGGGGGTCGCTGTGGGATTGTTTGCTGGGGATGGGACGGTGGGGCTGCGGGGCTGCACTCTGGCTACTGGCGGCTTGGCTACTGCAGGTAAGGGGGGCAAGCCATCCCCTCCCTCACTCCCTCCCTCCCTCCCTCACTCACTCACTCTGCCTCACCGACTCTCTCTCACTCTCTGCCTCACTCACTCACTCTCTGCCTCACTCACTCACTCACTCTCTGCCTCACTCACTCTCTGCCTCACTGACTCTCTCACTCTCTGCCTCACTCACTCACTCACTCACTCTGCCTCACTGACTCTCTCACTCTCTGCCTCACTCACTCACTCACTTACTCTGCCTCACTCACTCACTCACTCACTCTGCCTCACTGACTCTCTCTCACTCTCTACCTCACTCACTCACTCTGCCTCACTCACTCACTCTCTGCCTCACTCACTCACTCTCTGCCTCACTCACTCACTCTCTGCCTCACTCACTCACTCTCTGCCTCACTCACTGACTCTCTCTCACTCTCTGCCTCACTCACTCACTCACTGCCTCTCTCTCTCTGACCCCCTCTCTCTGACCCCCTCACTCTCTCTTCCCCCTCTTTTGAGGAGTACTGGCACTGACTAACTGCACCTGTACCTAAGCGGAGTCGGAGCTGAACGTCAGGTGTCTGCGACACCTCAGGTGTCTCTCTCTCTGTGTGTCTTTGTAGTTGTCTCTGTCTGAGTCTCTGTTTGTGTGCGTCTGAATGTGTGTGTGTGTGGCTCTTTCTCTGTGTGTGTGTGTGTGTGGGGGGGTCTTTCTCTGTGTGTGTGTGGGGGGGGCTTTCTGTGTGTGTGTGGGGGGGGCTTTCCTGTGTGTGTGTGTGGGGGGGGGTCTCTCTCTGTGTGTGTGTGGGGGGGGCTTTCTCTGTGTGTGTGTGTGGGGGGGGGGTCTTTCTGTGTGTGTGGGGGGGGTCTTTCTCTGTGTGTGTGTGGGGGGGTCTTTCTCTCTGTGTGTGTGGGGGGTCTTTCTCTGTATGTGTGTGGGGGGATCTTTCTCTGTGTGTGTGGGGGGGGGGTCTTTCTGTGTGTGTATGTGGGGGGGTCTTTCTGTGTGTATGTATGTGTGGGTCTTTCTCTGTGTATGTGTGGGGGGGGGTCTCTATGTGTGTGTGTGCGTCTCTTTCTCTGTGTTTGTGTGTGTGTGTGTGTGTGTGTGGGGTATCTGTGTGTGTGTGTGTGGGGGGGTCTCTGTCTGTGTGTGTGTGGGGGGGCTGTCTGTGTGTGTGTGGGGGGGGGGGTCTCTGTCTGTGTCTGTGTGGGGGGGGGGGTCTCTGTCTGTCTGTGTGTGTGTGTGTGACTCTTTCCCTGTCTGGATTTCCCTTCCCTGGTGGCAGTGTCTCTCTCTCTCTCTCACACACTCACACACACAGACGCTGTGTTGGGGGATGTCAGCGCTGTGCTGTTAACTTTGTGTGTTGATGGCAAAGTTTTGCTGCGTTTATTGAAGAAGTGAAACTCGGAGTTCGGGACTGCGCTCAGAGTTCTGCGTAACAGCAGTCAGTCACTTGCCACACACTCACTCTCACACACACTCACTCCTTCGTCATTAACTGGAGCCACACACACCCCATTCTCATATATATATATATATAATAATAACAATCCTTGCATTTGATATAGCGCTTTTCACGTCTTCTCGACGTCTCAAAGCGCTTCACAGAATAGACTGTAAAGTGAATTGACTGTATATTTGTGGGCGAAACGCGGCAGCCAATTGCGCACAGCGGCGTCCCCCGCAAACAGTCGTGTGTGATATCGTGCCACGTACCCTTAAAGATACAGATACACGCACGCAGATACACCCGGGCACACGCAGACACACACGCAGACACACACGCAGGCTCACACGCGCACAACGCAGGCACACACGCTCACACACGCACAATGCAGGCGCACACACGCACAACGCAGGCGCACATGCTCACACACGCAAGGCAGGCGCACGCGCACACACGCAATGCAGGCGCACGCGCACACATGCAACGCAGGCACACGCGCACACACGCAACGCAGCCGCACGCACACACACACACAACGCAGGCGCACACAACGCAGGCGCACGCACACGCAACGCAGGAGCACGCACACACAACGCAGGCGCATGCACATGCAACGCAGACATTACACACATACACACACAGATGTACACACTCACACACATGCACACAGTCACCCACACACATACACTGTATACAGACCAATCTTGTGCTCTTTGTCTCTGTGCCGGTCTCCAGGAGGTGGTTAATGTGTTACTCTGTTATTGATTGTCTTCCTGACTGGCAATAAATGGCCATGATCCCCAGTGTTAGAGGAATGAACTGTGAGCAATGATTGAATAAGCTCGGGCTCTTCAAGCTTGAGAGAAGACGATTTAGAGTGAACCTCATACAGGGTATAACATTTTAAATGGGATTGAAATACTAAACCCAGATTATTACTGTAGTATCAAGAGGCACAGGTTTCGAGCTGTAAAGGCCAATTCAGGACAGACCCTAGGAAGTTTCTCTTTAGGCAGAGGGTAATCAACAGGTTAGCAGGGAAGGTGCAGAGGCCAGGACACTGGACCTCATTTAAGTTAAAAAGCAGCTTGATGCTGCAGTGATGGGGGTGGGATGAGATGCGACAAGGTACGGTTGCTAACTGTGCAGGGTTAAGGGATTGTGTATGGTGACATTGACACGGGATCACAGGGAACGAGTTTACACTGTGGGGAATGGCCCCCAGCGTCCAGACTTCAGAAACTGACAAGTTGGCAGCATCTCCCCAAGGGTTCCCCCACCCCCCCATACACACACACAAACACAGTTCAATATCAAAGCTCTTACCCCCCACACACATACACTGGGTGGATAGTGTATAGGGAGCTTTACTGTGTCTCTAACCAGCGCTGTCACTGAGCTGGGAATGTCGATGGACCGTGTAGAGACATGGTTAATTAACTATGATGGAAATTAACATAACTTACAAGGATACAGGCTATTCGGGAAAGAATGAAGTGAAAGGAAAGGTGGAGGAGTTTCCATGTATGTTGGGGACACTTGGGAGGTTAAGATAGTTCACCCAATATCACAGGATCAATTATCGTATGAAATTTTCTGGGGGTGGGGGGGGCGTGCTCAACGAGAAAAAGCCTTGACTAACATTTGGGGTTTACTGCAGACCGCCAGGGCAAAGCAGGGAGAACAACGGCACTGTATAATATTAGGAGTTTATGTAAAAAAAAACTTGCATTTAAGCAGGAAATTTCACTTGGGGTTGTGTCTTGGAACTCTTAACCAATGGCATAGTTTGAAGCTGAGCTAGGGAGAGAGAAGTAACCCTAGGAATGATTGATGAGGAAATGAAAATGAGCAAAGAGGGGATGAGACAAAGGGTTAGAAGCAGAGGTTGTGTGTGTCGTGGCTGAAAGCATAGCTGTCAGAGGTGGAGGGAGGGGTTGAGGAGTGGGTGTGAGCAGGTCAGAGAGGTGGGGAAGGTGCCAGGGCACAAAGTGATTTGTATATGAGTGAAAGGATCTTGAAAATCTATTGAATCTGCAACAAGGAAAGTGATGATGAGGGGGTGAGGTTTGGTGATGGGATAGGGTTTAGTGATGTGCGGGTGGGGTTTGGTGCAGGAGCTGGGGAAACCGGCAGTGAGGAAAGGGCTGGAGAAATCAAGATGGGAGGTGACGGATGGGTTGATAGGAGGGTTACAGCTGCATTAGGTGTGAGGTACAGTTGGAGATGGGCAACGTGGAGGAAAGCGGTCCTGGTCAGGGACAGGAGAAAGTTGGTGCTCATCCAGGCCTTGATGTTACACCAGCAGAAAAACGCTGGTAGGATTGAGTTGATGACTGGAGAAGGAATAGTAGATTTGGGTGTCGTTCACACTATTGTGATTTTACACTCTTCCCCTTCTGTTCTTACTAAATAATCTTTATCAGTTTGCTTTCTGAAAACTGAGGCATTCATTTAGCATCTCCGCCATCTCCTTATCCACTCAATGGTCCTGTCTCGACTCTAACCATTCAGTACAGCTAATAGCCTTTACTACTCCTGTTTCTGTTAGTATTCTTTCTTTTTTTGTATTCAATGCTCTTAATCAATCATCTGTTTAACCTTCCTTAAGTTTGCTGTGTTCACTGTTTGTTCCTTCCCCATTAGCTATTCTGTACTTTTCAAATGCTTGGTTGCTCCAGTTACAGCTTTTTGTTCACCGTATTCACCACCAGCGTCCAATTGTTCATTAATTTTCCTAATCTCTAACTGGAATAGATTTCCCCTGCACCCTTTCTATCTCTGCTGAAAAATCTTACATTGTTGCTCAACTTCTGTTTGCCATTGTTTCCCTCCAGCCTATTTCAGCCAGTTTGTTCCTCATACCATTATAATCAGCCTTTTTTTTTACACAGTCAACAACCTTGGTGCTTGTCCGGTCTATCAATTTTTCTATTATTATCTTGAATCTTATTATAATATGGTCACTGCCCTGCGGACTTCCCCCACATCGACACGCTGACCTTCTCAGGCTCGTTGCCCATAACTAGGTCCAACACCTCTCTTGTTGGATTTTCTACGGATTGGCACAAAGAGTCCTGTACATTTTACAAAAACGACATCCCCTTCTGGCCTCCCATTCACTCCCTCTGCCAGTCTATCTGGGGATAATTGAAATTCTGGGGTTCAGAAAGGGTATGTTTTGTCTGACCATATAAGTGCAAGTTGTTGTTGTTTTGTGAGTAGGTGAGAGCCCAGGTTGACTGTGGGAAGCCATGTGGTGTATATCTAGACTGACAAAAGCCGTTTGACTAAGTGGCTTCATGGGAACCTCCCTCACAAACTGTGATCACTGAGTATCAAGAGCAAGAAGTGCCAAGAGAGAAGCTGAAACAGATCAAAGGATATTTGTTGACTCTTTGCTAAGTGTGTTACAAGCTCGCAAGATAGGTCTGGTGTAGGGTGCATGTCGTGGGGGGTGTAGGGGGTTTGGAGGGATGTTGCAGAGTAACTATGGTGGGGGCACGACAGAGCACTGATTTATTGTCACTGAGTACTGGTGAGTGTATGAAACAAAT